CTCAATCCTCTTCCTCAGAGCTTTGGCCTCTATTTCTTCCTTTTTCACGGTCTAACAAGAATGAATCCTAATTCCCTCAAAATTCCTTTTTGTTAAACCTAACTTGGGCCTTAAAATTGGGCTTTCCGACTTCACTCTCACTAACTCCTCCTCAAATATCCATTTTGCCCTTAATTCATTTATATTTATTTAAATTAATAATAATACCAATATATTCATATTATATACTATTATTTAAATAAATAACCCAAAATCCATAATTCTCAATACTTCATACCAACCACCGAAAATTACCAAAAATACGAATAATCATATTTAAATAAATTAAATAAATATTCCAATAAATTTGAGGTGTTACAATAGCCGTATGAGTTTCATTTTATTTCATCAGTCACCATCATATCTTTTCCCCTCTTATTTGAGCATAACGGAGAATTGTGAAGTGAAACTTCTCCAACATTGTGTTTTGATTAAGACAAGTATATTATCTCTAGTTCATTTGTATTATCAAAGGACGAGAAAAACCTTTATTATTCAAGTTATGGTATCAATACTTGTACCTCAAGCAACATTTGTAAGATGATCTTGGAATTTAGGAGATTGGTCATTTCATTAAGGTACAAGTTACAATTTGATCATGTGTTTTACCATAGTGCTCAGAAATTTCATATTCAATTCATCTTGATGTATAACATGACTTTTTACATCAAACAGTTTAACATCTAAACATTACTTAAAGTATTTTTCAAACTTTCATCAGGTGGAACCGGTTACACATTCTTATTAGTCGGTTACCAAAATAAAACTTTAAGTGTTTTTTCAAAAATGCATCAGGTGTATCGGGTTAACCATTTTCTGCAATCAGTTAATCAAAACCTGTAACTGGTTACACCTTAGAAAAACTTCAATTTTCATAACATGCTTCAATTGTAACCAATTCGCATGAAGGCTCATTTGGAAGCGCAAGGAAAAGAAATATGGGAAGCTGTGCAAAATGGTTCATTTGTTTCTACTAGTGTTGTCAATGGTGTTAGGACAACAAAGAGTAAGAGTTCATGGAATGAAAATGATAAGAAAAAGGTCCTATACGACAAGAAAACAATCAACCTACTTCAAAGTGCACTTAGCATAAATGAATTCTTTTGTATTTATCATTGTACAACGACAAAGCAAATTTGGGATACATTGGTGGAAAATCATGAAAGAACCGCTGAAGTAAAGAAATCTATATTGAATAATTTGATTCAAGAGTATGAGTTATTTAAAATGCAGCTTGGAGAATCAATCCTTGCATTGCAAAAGAGATTTGTACACTTGACCAATCACTTGATTGCTCTCGGTAAGACTTTTACTAATGGTGAACTTAATCTTAAAGTGCTTAGTTCTTTAATCAGGGAATGACAACTAAAGGTGATGGCAATTTCGAAAAAGAAAAGTATTTTTACCATGACGTCTGCATCCTTGTTTGGTAAACTTCAAAAGCATGAAATTGAACTTGAAATACTATAAAAGTATGATAATCAAGAGAAGAAATCCAAAGGCATTACTTTGAAAGTTGACACAAAAGAAGAACAAGAAGAAGATGCTCTGGAAGAAGATGAAAACTTCATGCTCCTTGTGAAAAGGCTTGGTAAGATTTTTGGCAATAATGAAAAATCCTTGAATTATGCAAAAAGAAACAAAATTTTCAAGAAAAATGATGCTTCCACTTTAACACAAAATATCACTTGCCATGAATACATAAAGCAATGACACATAAAAACATATTGTCTAAAACTCACCAAGAAGAGCGACTTCAAAAGTAGAAAAGAGACAAAATCCAAAAAGGCCCACATTTCGTGGGATGACAATGAAGTAAGTTCATCATCTGACTCAGAAAGTGAAGAATATGAAAATCTTACATTAATGGCATCACACCATTTCGGTGATAAATATAAAGAGGTTAGTAGTGAATTTTCCTCTTATGATAATGATGTTAAAGGTGCTATAAATGAACTACTCAATGAATGTAAAATCATGTACAAAATAGTGTCAATACAAAAGAAAAAAAAATTTATCTCTTGAAAAAAATATTGATGTCATGGAAAAATATTTTGAAGTTGAAAAACAAAACTATGTTAAAAAAAGCAAAAACAAAATTTTACATGCAAAGAGTGTGAGTCACTTTCTTTCCAATTCTCAAATTGAAAAAAGTTCTTGAAAGATATGAAAAAGGATAAATTGGATTGAATGGTGTCCTTAGTCAACAAAGATACTCTAATGATAAAAGTGGACTTGGTTATTCTAAATTTGATAAACCAAGTTCTAGCAAAATATCTTTGTTAAGGCTAGTGACCAATCTACAAAAGAGAAAGTGAACAAAGCAAAACATGTTCATCATTATCCTAAAAAGAGATTTATTAAGAAAAAAATCTTATGTTCTTAGATATAGAAGTAATTTTGTTCCTACATGTTTCTATTGTGGTATAATTGGTCACACCCTAATGCTTGCTACGTAAGGAACTTTAGTGTTGCTAGTGGGTATTATGTGTGGGTCAAGAAAAAAACTAATTATGAAGGACCCAAGGCACATTGAATTCCTAACAAAACTTAATTTGTTAGGTTTGCTTGAAAACCACTACAAATCTATGGTATCTCGATAGTGGTTGTTCTAAGCCTATGACGAGATATATCAACAAATTTTCATCTCTAGTTCTAAAGGACAAGGGATATGTCAGTTATGGAGACAATCACAAAGGAAAGATTCTTTGCATAGGCAAAGTTGGAGCACCACCTTTCCACTAATTGAAGATGTTATTTATGTTGAATGACTAAAGGACAATCTTCTAACTATAAGCTAACTTTGTGAGAAGGGCTTTAAAATCAAGTTATCCAAGGATGAATGTTTGATTGAAGATGAAGCCACTCATGAGGTAAAAAATCAAAGGTAGAATAATTAATAAACATTTTCATAATTTCTTTAGATGATTTATCTTTGAAAGTAAAATATTTCATGGTAAACAACAATGATTCATGGTTGTGGCATAAAAGAGTTGTCTATATTCATATAGAACATTTAAACAAACTAGGCAAGCATGATCTTGTCATTGGTTCACCTAAGATAAATTTTGTCAAAGATAAGTTATGTGATGGATGTCATAAGAGAAAGCAAACTAAATCAACATTCAAATCAAAGAATGTGGTGTATACTATAAGGTCACTTTAATTGTTGCATATAGACTTATTTGTTCCATAAAGAACTTCAAGTTTTGGAGGTAATGTATATGCTTTAATTATTGTTGATGATTTTTTTAGATTTTCTTGGACACTTTTTTTAGTGCAGAAAAGTGACGCATTTAAGATGTTCAAGAGTTATGTAAAACAAGTACAAAATTTAAAAATCACTAAAAATTGTATCTTCAACCTCCACCTCCAACCTCTAACCTCTATCTCAAACCTTCATTTTTTTTTATCTTTTACCTCTATCTCCAACCTCCATTTTTTTTATCTCTAACCTTTATTTTTTCATCTTCTACCTCCATCTCCAACCTCTTTTTCTACACACTGAAGCACGTCTTTAATAATGGCCACAATGTTTTCTTTTTCAAGAGCAATAAGACAGAGGGACGAAAAATATACAAAGATGAAAAACAAGATAAATGGACAAAAAAAAGATACAGGGACGAAAAATAAAAAGTCCCCAACTTACAAGGATGAAAAATAAAATCTCGCTAACTTACAGGGACAAACTAACTATTTAAACTTAATTGGATACATAAGCTTAATTGCATTCTATTTCAAACGTTTTATCTTTAATATTGTGTATCATAGCAAATTTGCAGAATTATATCTAACACAAACCAAAAATTTATAATGTTCAAATTAGGAAGAAAACTAATAAATTATTGTTAAAGCACTTCATGAAAGTGTCCTTCAAAGTACAAATGAACAAATACAAAAGTAACAATCATAAACTACAATAAAAAAAGAAAAACAAACTTATATGTCATTGCTGCCTTTATTTCAAATATATTAGTTCTTTTCATGATCATAAAAAGGAGGTTGAAGATGGAGGTTAGAGATAAAGGTTAGAGGTTGAAGATGTAGGTTAAAGATGGAGATTGGAGGTTGAAGATGGAGGCCGGAGATGAAGGTTAAAGATGGAGGTTGGAGGTTGAGCTTAGAGGTTTAAGATGAAGGTTGAAGACGAAAAAAAGGAGGTTGAGGTTGGAGGTTTAAGATGGAGGTTAGAGACAAAAAATGGAGATTGAAGATGAAGAAAAAAAGGAGGTTGAAAATGAAAAAATAAAAGATGGATGATTGAGATGAAAAAGAAATAGAGATTAGACGCTGGAGATGAAGAAAAATGAAAATTGAAAATGAAAATTGAAAATGAAAATTGAAAATGAAAAATGAAAAATGAAAAATAAATCAAAAAAGAATAAGATGAATAGTTACATTAACAAAACATTTATCATTTAAGCATTTTTATAAAAAAAAAAATTAATGACAATTACTAAAAGCAAATGAATATGAACTTTTAAAATAAAATACAACAATGAAAATGAAAAACACATCAAACTTATACCGAGGAGTTAATTATATAAGCCAAAAATATAATAAAGGGGAGCGAAACATACTTTAACCATTGTTGAGAGAACCAAAGTGTAGTTTACTTTACTTTTTAAAGAAAAATGTTTTCTCAAACAAAAAAAAAAATCAAAACGGCGCGTTTTAGATCGCTGAGCCATGAAAATTCCTGAATTGACTTGTACGGCTTTCTTTTGACACCGTCGTTAGCGGCGGTTGAAACTCCCGGAGACCGCGACCTCCTCCTCGCGATTCTCTCGCTTTTCCATCATTCATTTCCAAAACCATTCTATCACACTTTCTTTACAATACGTTATTTCTTCATTGAAATTCAATTTCAGCTGATTCTGATCTATCAATTCATATTAGGTTTTCTATTGATAGATAAATGTATATTGATAGTAGAAGAAAAAGAAGATTTTTGTTATAGGATGAGTCAACCATCAGTGATACTCGCCACTGCCAGCTATGACCACACCATTCGATTTTGGGAAGCCAAGAGTGGTCGATGTTATCGCACTATCCAATATCCTGATTCGGTTTGGTTCATTTCTTGTGATTCCTTTTTATTTTTGCAGCTATTAGATAAACAAATCTAGGTTTGCATTTGTTTAGGGTTTAGGGATTCCTTTTTATTTTTGATTAGATTTTAGCTGATTTGTTCAGCTGTTTTTGGAGTTATGATTATGTGCTTACTAGTTTGTAAATTGTAGCTTAGCTGTTTTAGTGTTTTTAGATTTGTGTTTTATTAGATGGTGGTTGCTTGGGGAGTACTAATTTATTATGGTGAATGGCTTCTTGTGATTTTAGGTTTCATATTGTGATACTGATTTTGCTGTATCTAATTTGTATAGCAAGTAAACCGGCTGGAGATAACCCCGGATAAACGCTTCTTAGCTGCCGCTGGTAATCCTCACATACGGTTGTTTGATGTTAACTCAAATAGCCCTCAGCCGGTATGTCTTTTCAACTAATGCACTTAGCTCAAAAAATTATTCATTTTCTGGTTCCGAACATTTTATGTCCTCATTGTGTGGCAGGTAATGAGCTATGATTCACATACCAATAATGTAATGGCAGTTGGGTTTCAATGTGATGGGAACTGGATGTATTCTGGTTCAGAGGACGGCACAGTTAAGATCTGGGATTTGAGGTGAAGTAGATGTTATGTTGCATAACAATTTATCTTATGACACTAGTCAGTCCTCAAATTTTGGTCAAATAAATAGACTTTGCTTATTTGATGACAAAAATGCAGGGCACCAGGTTGTCAAAGGGAATACGAAAGTCGTGCAGCAGTTAACAGTGTTGTGTTGCACCCAAATCAGGTTATGTTTCACTATTTGTTGGCAACTATACAATTTAACCCTGAGTTATGGTTTCATTAGTTAAAACTGTATTAAAAATTATGAAGAGATAACTTGGACTGAATTGTCTTACAGCACACTTTTAGCTTTCCATTATTATGTTATTTCTTTCAATTACTTGTCACTTTTATGAGATTCATTTAACTATTGGTTTATTGATTGGTGTTTAGATCTGGATTATCACATAGTTCAATATTAAGGGCATGTTTCCATTATTTTTGTTTCATTTGAAGCATCAAACATGTCTCTTTGATACTCTTTCTTCATTCACTATGGTTCCTTAGTTCTTAAAATATCCAAGTACATGAGATATCTGTACATATAGTTTCTTGCTCTGTGTTCTCACTGATTTTGTATGTGATCCAACAGACTGAACTAATATCTGGTGATCAAAATGGCAATATACGTGTGTGGGATTTGACAGCAAACTCGTGCAGCTGCGAATTGGTATGAGTTATGAACTCTTTTTACTGCATATGGGTATCAGTTTAGAATAGATTTTTAGTTCTCTATGAAAAGAGTAAATTAATCCAAAATAATATTTGAAAATAATGAAATATTTGAATTATAAGTCTTGTAGTTGTAAGTTGTAACACTCTAGTCACTCATCGGGCTAACACATGCAATGCTTCTTTCTCTCTTACACCCCACATGAGCTCGTAATTCCATTATACACCCAATCACCATGAATCTCCAACATGTATATCCTTTCGACAACTGTCCACCATTTCCTTAGGCTAAGGTTGATCAGTGCTTCTATTAATGTCCTCCCTCTTTATTTTTCACCCATTGACAAAAATTATTGGTAGAATATTATTTTCAATTTGTGGAAGAAATGTAGGTGCCAGAGGTGGATACGGCTGTACGCTCTCTTACAGTGATGTGGGATGGTAGCTTGGTAGTAGCAGCAAATAATAATGGGACATGTTATGTGTGGCGTCTGTTGCGTGGAACTCAGGTTGTGCCTTGATAGAAATATCATGATAATGTCATCCTCAGGTCAATCTTTACTTACCTGTACCAATAAAATGTGTTATGTGTTTTTGTGCAGACAATGACAAACTTTGAGCCACTTCATAAGCTGCAAGCACACAATGGCTACATCCTCAAATGTCTTTTATCACCTGAGTTTTGCGATCCCCACAGGTCATTAAGAATGTGCTTATGTTCTGTCTTTTTAATTTTTTTTTCCATACACTAATTAAGTTCGGAGATGGAAAAGATTGTGGTCAAGTTACTGGTCAGTGGTTAAGCTTTTGGGTAATCAGTTGTGTTTGTTAAAACAAAACATGGAGTTATAAAATATTTACAAACAAGGGTGTTAAAGATCTATTTGCCACAGCTGAAATCTCAGAGGTCAGAAATTGAAGAAAAAAATTTGGGATAAAAATTTAAGTATTTAATTTATATTGTTTAAAGATCTATCATTTAAGAGTTGAAGTCTCATTAAACTAAAAGAGAGCGGGAGTATTTTCATTGGATTTGGGCTGAATGCAAGAAATGAAATCTCATCTGCTCCAATATTTCCAAAACATTTTTATGTGGTTTCATTTTTACCATGCATCAAGCAAACTTGACCAAGTCCCCTAAACAAATTTCTGTGATTAATCTTATCATTTCAGTAGTATTAGCATGTGTGGTTGAGTGTAACTTATCCCTAACTGATTTGCAAGGTGAGGATTGTCCTCACTTATAAATATAATTTTCAGGTCAAACATTGTCTGATTTGAGATTCTTAACGCACCCCGTCATGCCCATTACTATTGGACTTGGTGCGTTTATATAATTGGTGGGTGACCCGGTAGTGAAAACCGGAATGGTGGTAGCCTAACGAATCTTAAAGTAGGCTCTGATATCATCTTAGAATGTGTGGTTGAGTCTAACTCATCCCTACAAATGGGCTTATAAGATGGGGAGTCTATGTTGCCTTTTATCAAAATAAAATCAGTTTCCTATGTGCAGTGTGCTTCTACAGTCATAATCATCTCTTTCTATGAAGATGGTGCTGTACTTTATTTTCTTATTCATGTTATTGTTTGAGTTAGCAATATGCAAGTTGTAAAATAACAGTTTGAACTGGAAGCATCAACAATCTAATAGGTTCTTATTATTATTATTATTAACCAACCCCTTACCAAGATCTCTCCCCGCATTGTCTTTACGATGCAAAATTAGGTTTTCCTCTTTTGACCTTTTCCTTCGGATAAATCAAAGAGCGGTTGTGAACTAAAGATGCGATTCAAATTAATTAATAATTTGATATCATATTCTAACCGCAACAGTAACCTTCCCTGGTCTTTAAATTTAGCTAAAATTGCTTTGACCGGGTTGTAGCTTCCAGTAATTTAATGATGTTATGCCGGCTGGTTTGGGACTGCTTTAGTTATTCCAGGACTGACAATCTCTCTGTCTCTATTTCTATCTTTAACATCCTAATGTACCTCTAGCTTATTTAAGATGTTAATATTTCTTGGTGATATTTTTAGGTACTTGGCAACTGCATCTTCTGATAATACTGTCAAGATATGGAATGTTGATGGTTTTACATTAGAGAAAACTTTGATAGGTAATTCATGAAATTATGTGATAATGTAGTGTTTGTTCACTCCCTCCCCTTTTCCCAAAATTTCCTAAACCTGAAACGAGGTTGGCTGTACACCCCAGGTCATACACGTTGGGTGTGGGACTGTGTCTTCTCAGTGGATGGTGCCTATCTTATTACAGGTACTAACTTGGTAATTTTTTTGGTATCTTTGTTTCTTATAAACATCCTGGAACTGGATATATAAATGGGTTTCCTTTTGAACACTTTGTTGTCACACTCACATTGGTATTTAGACTTTTTAGGTGATACTAATAATTATGGTTTCTAACTTCTGCAATGATTTGATGATACCTGTGTAAAAAAGTTTAAAAACACATTTATAGTGTAGTTGTTACTTAGAAACATGCCCTTATCTTTTGCATTGCCCAGAATTGGATCCTTCAGTTCACAGGAAATGTTAAGTACAGATAAAGTTGATTCATGAAATTACAAATTTGTGTAGCTTTTGATTGCTGATCGGTTCCTCATTTTATTTACCAATTGCTAACCATGATTGTTTATCTTTCTTTAAAGAAATTAAGTATCTTATGGGCTCAGTAAAAATACATGATCATTTAGTCCTCCAGAATCCAGATTTAAAAAATGCTAGACAGAGTGTAGGTGCAAACTTAAATTGGCTATACATATGTTATTTTTGTAGACAGGTTAAACTTAAAAAATTAGCTAGTAATATATAATTTAAAATTGTTCTGCTAAGAATTTTTTAATAGCCTATACTAAAAGTTGTGTTTTAATTGTACTCTATTAGACCAAATTTTTATTTAAAATTTTACAAACTATTAGTAGAAGTTGTAACAGTTGAAATAGTGGTGGAGAGTCTATTTTGCGACCTGCTCAAATTACGACTGTCTTAAAAACTACCGGTTTTGCAGTTGCATAATGAGCTGTAAGTAAACTACTTTTGCCCGATTGCAAAATAGACTTTGCATTATCAATTGTGATTTGTGAATCTGAATGGACAGCCATTTTGTTATTCAACTGTTGCTTGCTTCATCCAAATTTTTACCCCCAATACACTTTGTTATTGCAGCTTCCTCTGATTCAACTGCTAGGCTTTGGTCTATGTCAACTGGTGAAGATATTAAAGTTTATGGAGGGCATCATAAAGCTACAATTTGCTGTGCTTTACATGATGGAGCTGAACCTGCAACTTGTTGACAGAGTTACTAGATTTCATCAGAGACATCCTGTTTTGTTTTGTAAATATTAGTATGCTTAGTTGGTCTATGAAGTTTACTGCAGTTCTTTTGAGAATGCACTACTAATCGACAGCTCTACACTAATACTGTACACCATTGCTGTAAATCCTCATGGGACGAAAGTCATTATTAATGTCTCTAATGCTGTTTGTCGATAGTTTCACAATTAAAGTGATCTTTTCAAATAATAGATTAAAATACATGGATTAACATTTGATGATATCATAATGATGCATATAATTTTTCAAAGGCTATGCCCAATTTTGAAATGCAACACATATTCATTAAATTATATGTGAGGAGGTACAATGACTATTTTTTGTTGCTTGGATGCTTGACTTAGAGAACCCAACAGCGGGTGTTTATATAAATTTTTTTAGCATGGAAATGATAACTTTCTTGTCCTCTATTGATGATTAATAACCCACACAAACAAATGAAGAACAAGCACAGAAAAAAAAAATCATTACGGAAACAGTCATTTGAATCACACATTAACTAGTGGTTTAACGTTGGACACAGAAGTTCTAGTTCCAAAAAAGTGCAGGTTGCAATTATTCTTTGACACCACGTCATATATAGTTTTGATCATATTCTCTAAAAAATTTATTAATCAGAGTGTTGCTCACTTTTGGAACTTTCTTTCCCTTTCTTCTTTTCCTTTTTTTCCTTCTTGCCGTGCTTCTCAGTCTTATGGTGATTTTGAGGATTCTCTGTGAAGTCTTCAATATCCATGTGTACACCAGGATCATTGGCATGATAGCTACCACCAAGCATGATTGAGTTGTTGATGGCCTGGAAGTTGCTGTTAACATAAGTGCTCAATAATTCAGGCTCTTCGTGAGAAAAATATTTACCTGATTTTTCGTCCATTTCACTCCTCAGCGTAGCTCCTTCATTGGTTCCTGCGAGGGTGACAATCCTAGTGCCATGTTCATCATCATTGTCCAAATGGTGGGTGGAGCCTGGTTTATGAAAATTAGTGACACGACCAGTGATGGCAGAAACCATCTCCCTAATTTCTCTATCCAGATTCTTATGCTTCTCAGCTTCAGCAGGAGACTGACTTGATTTCACTGATTCAGAATGCATGTTTTTGTAAGGCCCTTGAATGAAACCTCCTCTCTTAATAACTCAAGTGTGTATGGCTTTTGGATATAATGTGAGTGTATATATATTACAAGAGCTGAATGACATTTAGTTAAATGTTGTCTTGTGAGTGAATCAAGTGAATGGAATGACTTGGAAGGCAATAAGAGAATCTTAAATGTACTTCATAGAAGCAGAAAAAAAGCTAAAGGAGGAATTAAGGATTGCTTCATAATGGGTTAATATCTTGTGCTTTTGTGACTCCTATGTTTCTTTACTGATAACCATTTTCAAGGAAAAGAATCCACTGCCTTCGCTGTGCTTGTAGACTTGAACAGAAAACTGTTTTATCATAGCTTTTGATTATTTTGCTATTTGAAAATTTATTAATAATATTTACTTGATGCTCAAATAAATTTAATATTATGTGCTGTATTTGGTAATTTTATTAACTTATATTTTAATTAGTTAAGTAATTTTGTTTGTAATATGTTATATATATATTTTTTACAATTGAGAAAGGGAGAAGAAAAAAAAAATCTAGAAAATAACATAAGGTATATAACATTTCATATTCTCTTAAATATTTAATTGAGTGTTAGTTGAGATCAATTGAATTCCTATGTACTCTATTTTTTATTAGTTAGAATAATTAGAATTTCTATATACTCTAAATGTTATCAGTTGAGACCAATAGAGTAACTAGTCAACTCTGAAGAGATCAATTATTGATAAAAGAGAATGACCAATATTAATAAGCACACGGGGATATTAGGTAAAATCAAATATTGGTCAATCGGTGTTAGATGACAAAATATTAGGTAATATCAAAAGAAAGATAGTAAGAAAAGAGAGAAAGAGAGAAAAGGAAGAGAAAGAAGAAGAAGATAAAGGAAATGTCATTACAATACTAATATCAGAGTTATTACAGATTCAAATCAGAGACACCCCCTAACATTAGGGGGTTTACCTACTCATATTATTCAAAGAAAATACAAAACAAAAACTAAAAACATTACAAGATAATAGGATTCATTGATCTTCAATAACTTCCGCTCATGAAAACCTTCAGTTTTTCAATCACCTTGATCTCTCTAATCTTGATAGTGCAATTCTTCTCTGGCCAAAAAGTCCTTTTTTTCCTTTTAAAAATCTGTCTTAAATACTCGCAAGTCCAACACAGTAATAGAAAAATACCCAAAATACCCATGGATCATAAGGTCCAAAAAATTAGAAAATTGGAAGATGAAGCGTTTCAGCTGACACGGGCGACCGTGTTGGCCCCCTGGATATCTCTTGCAAACAATTGCTGCTCCAGATGACACGGGCACCAGTGGCATCCCCCTATCTAAAACTCTGTTTTCTTCCTCTTGGTACCATTCTGACACGGGCCGTGTCAGGTGACACGGGTGACCGTGTCAGACCACTGTTCTCTTTCAAAAACTTTTCTGAATTCCTGCTTTTTTTCCGGTTTTTACTCTGATTCTTCTTGATTGCTTACCTGAACCTAAAAACAATGGAAATACCAAACCGACACATAAAATCCGATAAAAGGAAATAAAATGTAAGTAAACATGTAAAACAATTAATTAAAACTCATAGTAAAATAACGTATAAAAACCATTGATCACTTAATCATGTTATGCCATGTTTGTTGGAGTCTTTGGATGTGTTTTGGTGGTGTGGATTGAGGGTTTGACCATGGGCACCTTCATTCTCATGCTGCTGGAAATCTGGAATTCGCTCGCGTTGCTGTACGAGCCTTAGGTGAGCTCAAGGCAAGCTATTCTAATAGTGTTGCTGTGCGATATTTAGGAAACGGAAAGCGAGTTGTTTGCTTTGCGGTCGCTATGCGACCATGAACCAATTTTGGTTATGCCTGTCTCTCGCTTTGGGGTCTCCGTGCAAACTGAAAGTGAGCCAGCCTCGCCTTCTGCTCGCTGTGCGACCATGATAGGGTGCAATTTTTCCATTTCTTGTTTTCTTCATATCTTTTAAACCGTAACTTGGATTGAGGCGCGGCCAGAAGCGTTGGAAAACTATTCCAATGCTTTACGTGAAAATTGTTTAATTGAAATGAATGTGGAATAATATATGGGCGGGTGAAGATGAACACCTAGCATTGTGATGAGTGTCATGTGAATGGTTTGATAATTGATGAGGGACCTTTGTTTCGAAAGTCCTATTTATTATGATGATCATATGTCTTGTGTGCATTATTTATATTTGACTTGTTATGTCACTATACATGTTTTATGTGTGACATATGCGTATGTTCATATGTTTGATTGTGTGATAATATGCTTAGAACAATATGAAGATAAGTGAGAAAACCTAGGCTTAAAACTAGGAAAATGGATTAAAGAGAGAAATATGTTGCAAGTATGATTTAGATAACACTATAGGGTGACATTCATACTATGATACCTAGGTGTGTCTCATGGATGAATGGTTACCATAGTTGTGAGTGAGATGCATTGTATGGAATATGTATAGTTAGTGTGTTGCTTTATGATTAAGGTGAATGTGGTCACCTTGTGATTGTCGAATACGATCACGTTATGTTGTATTTCATCACGTAGTCGGAAACTACCCTTGAAATGTGTCATCCCAAGCATTGATGCTTATGTAGAGCTCCTTTGGGATGTACACACTATTACTTTGACGGGTTTGAGTCCCGTGTGTACGGATAAAGCCTATGGGTAAAAAGCTTGAGAGGGGTGGTCCCATGGGAAGCGACGATTCATGTGGAAAGCACCTTGAATCTGAATCTATTTTGTATGTCAAAGTAGATACAAGGATCTGTGGCCCGTGTTGATAACTCTAGACATAGGGTTGGCCGAGGAAAGATTCCTTGATATGGTTTTCGATTAGTGATAGTTTGAGTTGATGAGGTCAAGAGGCATGTTTCCATGCATTGCAAGTTGTGTGAACTCAAGTCTTGTCCCTTTTCCATTTTGACTTGAGTTAGATTAGATTAGAACACTGTAGAGTCGAGTGAACCCATAAGATAGGAAAACTCACTGAGATTATTATTTCACCCCATTATTGTTGTTGTTTTTCAGGTATCTTTTGTAGGTTTAGTTTACTATTGGAGTTATGCATGGATGTTTCAAGAGAAGCATAAATTATGATTATTTCGTTGTGTTTTGTGTATATTGTACAGTGACAAATATTGTACTTAGATCTTAGATTTTATGTTTTTGGTACTTTCCATATTTTGTACCATAGGTTGTTTTTATTGTTTTAGAAATGGTCAAGTATGTAAATGTTGCCAATAGACACTTATGATTGTGTCAGTACCAAATAATAACACTTGCATGATATTATTTTAGATATACATTATACATGGCGTTACAAGTTAGCAGGAGAGTGATGCCTCATACAGGAGACTCCGTAAAAGACTGGTGCGCAACATCATTACCAACCTCATATTTTGTTAGATAGTCAACACAAGCATTCTCCTTCCTAGGAGTATGACATATTTGAACTCGTCATTCTATAGAGAGAAACTCTTTAATGTTGAGAATAATCGTGGCATAGTGATGCTAAACATTAACAAACTCTGAAATAAACTTGATAGCAGAGTTGAAGTCAGAATAACACATCAAGTTTTTGATGCCAAGTTCCCATGACATACGCAAACCATGATATATTGCCACCAACTTAACATGAAGGATATTAGAATAACCAATATTACCTGCAAAACTGTGAACCCAAGCTCTATCAGCATTTCAAATCAACCCACAAGAATCCGAGACATTGGAATTACCGAGGCTACTGCCATCAACATTCAAAATCGTACTACTACCTTTGTATGCATTCTGCATGATGTTTATCGTTAGATGAGACAAATAATGTTTGAGAAAATATTTAGCTAACAAATTAGCATAATTCACTGTGATGAGTTTTAAAGTATAGGAAGATACCACTTCATTCGCAAGACACAATTTGTTCATAGCGTGCCACAACCACCAGCAAGAAGCCAAAAAGATAGAGTCAACCTCAATGCCATGTCTAATCCAATCACATAAACTATCCCCTTGGAAGAATAGTGGGTCCAAGAAGCCAATAGATTTCTAAAAGCGAGTAGAAAATTCACAGTCTCTTAGGAAGTGTAAAGTTGTCTCACCGTCTTGGTTTCATCTAGAACATAGATTCATCTGGAGTATACCACGATGACACGACATCAATCTCGTATACATGGATTTATGTAAAGTTGTCCAAAGGAAGAATTTCACCTTCTCATGAGTAGGAATGTGCCACACCCATTTTCAAGAGTTATTGTCTGTTGCATTCTGAACAAATTCAATTTTGTTGAGCCAATTATAACCATCCTGAGTAGTATAAATATCATCTAAATTTCCTTTCCTAGTTAACCAATCAGGCACCAGAGAATGCAAACAAATGAGAAGTGCTTTCGGGCCATCACAAACAACCGTAAGAATATTAGTATATAATGAATCTATTCCGGACTGACCCAATGGTTAGGCATGGCCCAATCCACTTTTGCACCCAGAACGGCCCAATAGCCTTAGCCCTGCTAGCTAAAGGCAAAGTGAAGCTTTCTCTCCTCTGTCCCTCTTTTGAGGTCCTCAACAAAATAAATATTCTGATCCTCTTGCAGAATGCAAGAATTGGAGCCTTAGAAGAATATGGCCGATCAAGATCTCCTACGCCGAGGAAAGAACGCCGAAGATCTCAGAGTCTTTCTCCCAAACGAGGAAGAGATCGTCGGGCACAAGTAGAGCTAGACTCTTCGGCCGTGAGAAAACGCGACCATACCTCTCCCCAGAGTCGGCACTCCCCCAGGGCTAAGAGAACCAGAAGGGATCTCCGAACATAGAGTCATTGTTCTCCTCCACCTAGATCCAAGGGCCGGGCACAAAGTCCATCTTCCCGGACGAAGCAATTGCTCCCGTTCCAGTTCTAGCAGCAGCAGCGACAAGCCTCGTGTCCGTTGTCCCAAGAAATTATGGTCGTGTTCCTACCTAAGGAGCTAG